AAAACCAGAGTTGCGCCGTTAAAGACGGTCACCTTGGCGAGGCTGGAATTGATGTCAGCTTTGCTTGCAGCCCGCTTTTTTGCCTACATCATCAAGAACTGCGACCTGGGCATTGGTGAAGTAACATTTTGGTCCGCTTCCCAGATTACCCTTTGCTCGACTTACAAGGACCCCGTTTCTTGGAAGGCATTTGTACAAACAGGATGCCAGAGATCAGAAATTTGACAGTATATTCTCAATGGCGATTTTGTCCCGGAAAAGAAAACCCTGCAGATTTGCTCACTCGAGGCTTGACTGTACACAAACTGAGTAGATCACAGTTGTGGTGGTATGAACCCGGATGGCTTGCCATGTCTCATACGTTCTGGCCTGAATTCGTAGGAAAACTTGACCCCGAAAATGGAAAACTAGAGGCAGCTGATACGGGGCCAGAAACAAATATCCACGCTTTTAACACAAGAACATCGATGCCAACGCTGATTGATAACGAATAATTCAGCAGCCTCACAAAACTTGTAAAAGTAACGGCATGGAATTTCCGTTATGTTAAAAAGTTGAAGGAAAGCAATAGGTTCGAGGAGCTGTCTGCTGAAGAAATTCAACAGGCGGAGTGCTACTTGATTCGCGTAGAACAGAGAGCTCACTTTGGTAAAGAAGGCAACTGCGTCACAAACGAGAATCCGATTCCTTCCCAATGTCTCGTTCGACAATTAAGATTGTTCCTCGACAACAATGGGCTGCTTCGGATACAAGGAAAAGTTCAAATGACGGACGACTCGTACGGTTCTCGCCATTCAATGCTCCTACCGAAAGACTCTCACCTCATTACTTTAATCATCAATCATGCTAACGAAAAAGTCTTCCACGGAAGAGTACGAGACACACTGACTCCAGACAACAATACTGGATTCCACAATTACGACAGCTGGTGAAAAAAACAATACGACGGTGTGTCATCTGCCAATGTCTACAGTCTAGACCAGTTGAGCAAGTTTCACCTTGTATGCCCCAGGATCGTTGTAATCAAACCCCTCCATTTTTTGTAAGTGGAATACATTTTGCGGGTCCACTTTACATCAAAGGGCATCTTCACCAGCGCTCTTACATCGCTCTTTTTACTTGTGCTGTAACAAGAGCTGTTCACTTGGAACTTGTTGGAAGATTTGACAACGGTGAATTTCCTTTCACCGTCGGAGATTTTACTTCGGAGATTCGTATCACGTCGAGGCCTCTGTCACACAAGGTACAGCGACAATGCCTGAACCTCTGTCAAAACGTCCAAAGATCTACAGAAGCCCTAGCGAACCATCCGGCATCCCGATGTACTTGCATTTTTCTCTTCCTCAAAGATTCAGTGGAAATTCATTTGCCTGAGTGCTCCTTGGTGGGGTGGATTTTATGAGACTCGTACGTTCTGTGATGATCTGCTTGAAGAAGATGCTTGGTCGTTGTTTGATAAATCAGACAGAGTTGGCTACTTTACTAACGGAAGTGGAAGCAGTAATAAATTCTCGGCCTTTAACATATGTGTACAATGATGTGGATGTGCCGTACCCCCTATCTCCAGCAGATTTTCTCGCTGGAAGAAGACTGACAACGCTATCACCCTACCACTTCAAAATCAAAACCGAGTCGACCAACGATCAACTGAAGAAACTTTAGAGCAAGAGAGAAGTGGATTTGCAAAGTTTCTGATCTCGTTGGTCAAAGGAGTACCTCAATGAACTCAGGAATTACACATTCAACCAAGCAAAAAGAAATCCCATATTGAAGAAAGGTAATGTAGTTCTACTCGGAGAAAAACATCGTCCAAGGCAACTGTGGAGCTTGGTTCACATAGAAGAACTGATCGGTGGACGTGACGACATCGTGAGGACTTGCCTTCTATGCTTGCCCGACGGCACTATTGTGAAGCGTCCGGTGCAGCTACTGTACCCATTGGAAGCCGCCTAGCGTCATCTCTCAGCGCGGGAGACGGTTGCGACCTCCTTTATTCACCCCTCACAGCAGAAGAGCAAGCATCATCGTGAGCAAGCCTCCTCACGAGCTGACACTCGGCCCCGCAGCAGCGCCGGTTCACCCTTGTCTCTTTCTTTCTTCTTGAGTTCCATTAAAGCCTTTCATTTGGCAAGACGTGTTCTTCACTTGATGTGAGCCGTGCCACAGCAGTAAGGCTTAGAGGTCCAACAGTGGCTGTCAAAAGAAGTGTGAAACTTTTGCAGCAGGTTGATCAACTGGCTTCGTTCTGAAGAAGACGTTGCGACATCGATGGAGCGGTGGAAAGCATCAAGGAGTGACTGATCAACAACAAGGCCAGAAATAAGTGCGCTGAGGTCCGTAGAAAGTAAATTAGACGGAGCGTCGAAAATGTGATGGGCGTCGATCGAATGCACGTGATCGAGACATTCATCATGGAATAAAGGTAAAGGCCCTTCTAGCGTATTGTACACGAGCGTCTTAGTGACGCCATGGTGGAGAGTAAGGAGAGCAATGGGTAGTGGAGAACATTTGTGTTTAATGAACAGGGCAGAAGGCGTAAATAAAACATCACCATCGGAAATAGCGTCACACGACACAGTCACCATCAGAGAAGAGCGCGGTGGTATGGTGGTGTCGTCAGAAACAGACAGTTCATAATACTGTAGGGAGGCTTCAACAGCGTCAACATCAGGAGGTGCAGACAGCTCAAGTTCAGCGTGACAGCAGTCAATGACGGCATTATTATTCGCAAGGAAGTCCCGGCCGAGTATTACGTCATGGGAACACGAGAGCAGCACTACAAATTCGACGATATACACAATCCCTTTGATGACGACTCGTGTGGTACTGGCTGCGAGAGGTATTACACCTTGTGCGTTAGCCGTTCTAAGAGAGAGACCGGAAAATGGCGTCAGAACTTCGCGGAGTTTGCGGCACAGGTGGACGAAAATGGCGGATAGAGCGGCTCCGGTGTCAACAAGTGCCACGATGACGATACTATCGACTGACACTTCAATCACATTAGCTAGACAGGGGCGAGGACTTGCGCATGGCGACGGGGATGCAGTTCGTGCCTCAGGAACTGCAGCCGTTAGTTTTCCTGTTTGGTGGGTCCGGAACGGCGACGCATAGGGGAAGGCGAATGTCGACGTGGAGATGGGGAGAGGTGGATGGCGCTGAGTGGACGATCAGAGGGAAAGAAAAATTAAGGAGGGCTTGAAGGCGCAGAAGAAAAGTGAGGGTCGAAAGAGGGCATTCGTCAATGTTCAGAGCAGCCTGGCAACGACGACAAAACGCGCCACGTGGCCAACACCGCCACAAGCAAAACTTATAGGACGGTGTCGTAGGTCCGCCATTGCTGGAGGGCAGAAAACTGTGGCCGAGGTGGTATCAGCGTAGGCGGCGGTGAATAGGTCGGCGGCAAATACATAGGCGCTGGATGGAACGCAGGCTGTCGAGGTCGAGCAACGGCTTCTACGCTTGGCACTTAGACGATGCCACAGCCTGCGGTCCCAACTGAATGTCTTGTTGTCCGAGGCCCCGTTCCGCCAGTCGCTGCACCTCTCGGCGTATGTGAGAGGTGCGGCGACTGACGGCTGTTCACAGGCGGGAGGAAGAGCTTATGCGACCTGGTCTTGAATGAAGTCGCGGAGTGTAGACGTCAATCTGTGTGGCTGATCGGGTACACAGGACATCAAAGAGAGTTGACGAGCGACCTCAACGCGGATGAACTCTTGGATCTTTGAGAAAAAAGGGGCATGGTCATCTCCTTTGCCAAGGGTGGACAGGCTGCACAAGGAGTCGTCGGGCACCGAGGGACGTCGGGTGAAAAGATGTTGCCTGCGTAACTCGTCCAAACTCTGGCATAACTCGGTCAGTTCTATGACAGTGCGAAGACTTTTAGAAAGCAACATTTGGAAAGCGTCGTCCTCAATGCCTTTCATGATGTGCTTGATCTTAAGCTCTTCGGACATCGACCCGTTGACTCACTTGCAAAGGTCCAGAACGTCCTCAATATAGTTTGTGAAATTCTCACCAAGTTGCTGGGACCGAGCATGCAAGCGTTGTTCGGCACGGCGTTTGCATACCTCAGGCCGTCCAAAAACTTGTGTGAGGCTCGTTTTGAAGAAAGACCACGTAGGTAGTTCCACTTCGTGATTTATAAACCACAGCTTGGCCCCGTCCGACAGGTAGGAGACGTAGGCCAACTAGGCAGCGTCATCCCATTTGCTGTGAGCACTCACTCGCTCATACATAGAAATCCAGTCATCAACATCCTTGTCTTCTGTGCCTGAGAAAACAGGGGGATCTCGCAGACGCAGAGAATCGGCGCAGAAGACAGTAGGCGGTGCCAGTGGAGGAGTTGGAGCGGCGCTTGCGTCGGTAGGCATAATGGACCGTAAAATGCGATCCCGAAGCTCCAGGGTGATCGAAACCCCGCACCTCCACCACTTGTAACGGGGTTTGTTTGCAGAGCATAACGCAGAAGGCGAAGTAGTCAGCAGCGTCTGGCCAAGCGCAGTAAGCACGAGCTTATGCTGCTGGCGATGCCCCCTGAGGCACGGAGAAATGCCGCTGAGGCCTCTCTTCTTCACTACAGTTTCTAAGAGCGCTATTGAATCCATTCGATATGATACATACAAAATGAAAACCAATGAGATTTAAACTCCCTAAAAATTTCAAGCCTACCATTGTCCAGAGGTGCTTCTTTTGACAGCCATGATTCAGAGAAACAATTAAACACCCCACCTCCGGCTCTCTTCTTTGCTTTTACTTCAGTATATCTTTTCCATTTTACCCACACAATTTGTCACAACGCACCCTCCGGCAAACAACGTCCAGTTTCCCTCTCGCCCTCCTTCATTCTGATTGGAGAAGAGGGTTCGAAGCATATACACCTTAGCACTAAAGGAATTAGTTCTACTCTGAAGGAAAACGGGTCCACTAGTTAAAACGGTGGCTCGAGCACGCAACTCTTGTTCACGGATTTTTCAAACTTACTTCTAGGGTGACAAACTTACTTTTGAAGTATGCATGGTCATAATAGCCATCAGACAGTGACAGTGGAGTAGAATATGCATGGTCGCTATGGCCATCAGGCAAGGACGCTGGCTGAGGACAGGGCTCTGCACAGTAAAGACATTGTATTATGTCAACAACAAGCAGAAATGCTTATGCTGAAATTCTAATACTCATCCAAAGCATGCACAATGTGAGTAGGTTCTGTAAAGCGTCTATGTGTTTTTCTAAAATTTTTTATTACACAAAAATGTCTTAAACTTCTCAACAGTGCTACGATTTTAAGAACAATGTAAAAAGAGGGTGGCGGCCATTGATGACATTGGGTATAAATGAATCTTCAAACAACAGAAGATTACAAAAAGGGAATGCTTATGACTGCATTCTTTCAAACTTTTTTTTTTTACACAACAGTTTTGGGTTATCATGGTAATGAAAGCGCAGTTCAATATATTTTTCCTCACACATTGGATAAATTCATATTATTATTGTACAGTGCTTTAGTAGACTTTGTTGATGGAGTTGTTGGTACATGCTAGACCTAGTAAATAAGGTGCACATTAGAGGAAGAAATATTCATGAACTTGAATATTAACATTCACCTAATAACTTATTTCAAAGTTGACGTTTTGTTTTTAGAAGTCAGTTGCCACTAGTATCCATCTGCCTGTTTTCTCATAAACTGTTATGCAGTTCATTTACAGAGATAAGGTTAAGTCATTATACTTGATTTGATAGTGATTACAAATATCTGTGCATACAAGGGGAATTTTAACCACCACTATTGATATCGCAGTAAAGTCATGGTACTGATATTTTAAGTAAGGCTCCCGCTTCAACAGACCTACACAAACCTGGCGTATTCCAAACTTAATGCTCACTACCCCTTCCCTTAAACACTCGAACATGTGCTGGCATGTGCATGAGTGTCCTAAATGATTAACTAGAATTGACTAGTTGCTGGGAGCCTGCTCTAGTTTCGACAACCCGCACCATATTCACTTGTGAACTAGAGATAATTGTACCTTTCGCTCAAACCCAATCTCCACCCAGAAATCCTGATAGATATGTCAAGTGCCACATCTGCATACAGTCTCTCTTTTTTTAATGAGAATGCATTTCTTAGTGGGAGCATGTAGGGCGTCTGTCGGTGTTTTCGCATCGGCAGGTGTTATTTCTCCGCTATAGCTCTCTCCCCCATAGAAACAGCTGCAGGCGCGCGCGATTATCCTCGCACCGAGCAACCGGAGCAGGTGGTGCAGGCGGAGTAGTGGAGAGTGAGTAGAAAGGGGAAGCACGCTCTGGTGTGTGAGGGCACTCTCATCGCGGGAGCTCGGCAAAGCACCCGCGTGTGTGGAGGCAGTGTAGGAGGGGGTAGGTGCAGTGCTCCGCCGCTTTTTCTCTTGCCGTTAACTCTCTCTCCTCCCTGCGCCCCACCCTCCTGTCTGCTCACCCGTACGTATATATATAAATGGAGTGAAGCGTGCACCTCACTCTCGATCGTTTGGTGGCTGATGAATGTGTGAATAAATGGTTACGGTACAACTCCTCGCCTCGTCATTATTTACGCCATTAAAATTACTACACCATGTACTCTTCCTGCAAGAAATGCAGTCTTATTTTTTCACAATTCCCTTCAGGGAGGGGGGGGGAGGGGCGCTTGTTTTTTTATTGTAAGCATCTCTGGCTGCATGAAAGATGTATACAGCTGGTGGCACTTCAAGCAGGCGAGCTCTGTTGTAAATCTATGCCTGTCAAAAAAGCCCCTCTAATTGATCACACTCTTTACTGTCATTTTTTCCCAATTGCCAGTGCTTGCCACTCGTGGCGCTGCCAGCTGACACTAGTATGGACACTTTTCACGCTTCGGACTGTCACGGTGAATGGACGTGTTTTTTAGCGCTCACGATCGACTGCGCAGATAAGTGTTATTGCATGTTTTGAGCTTGTCTTTATAGATATAAGGCAGGAGTTGAAATCTTCGTAGCACTTATTTTATGGTACGGCTTTTTCGGGGGCCAGTCACCAGGTATTTATTAGTTAGTGCGCGTGTGTGTGTGTGTTTGAATTGTTTGTTGTTTTTTTCTTTTGCCACCCCGTGGGGGAGGCGCACGTACATTGAACACGCAAATTTTTGTAGTAGAGCTTAGACTTTCTTTTTGTTTCGTAGTGCAGGGCTCGAGTTCAGTAATTATCGAGTATAGGGACAATTGGTGTCAGAAAGACATGGTTAAAAAGACTGTAAAGTGTTCAGGATGTGGAGTGGGCCTGAAAGTGAACCCAAGTGTAGAAACGGATGGAGAAGAGGCTGACTCGAAGTGTAGGCAATGTGAGGTCGAGGAAAAAATGGAGAAAATTATGGTTGCCCAGAGTGAACTGCTGATGAGAATCGCCGAGATGGAGACAGCGTTGGCGACAGAGCAAGAGAAAACGAGGGCAATGGGAGAAAGGCTGAAGTCCGCCGAGGAAGCACTAGAGAAGCTGAACAAAGGAGTAGCCTACGGAGAGAACAGTAGAGAACCGGCAACCAGAACCGCGGAGAAGAAAAAGCAAGCAAGTTTGAAAAAAAAAAAGGTTCAGCCGGTTCAATTGTCGCAAGGCCCAGCTTCAGCGAGGTAGTGGTGGGGCTAGGAGGGGACAAAGCAGCCGACGTCACAGGTGCAAGTAGCCTGCAGGTGCAGGACGCTCCAGCTGAAAAGTCACAGCATGTGATAATTGCCGGGGACTCGAATTTAAATCGATGAACAGAAGCCATCAAAGAGAGGGTAAGAGGTGACAAGAGGGCTGCAGTAGGGGTGTTCCCAGGACGCAAGCTGGAAGCAGTCATGAGGCAAACGAGCGCAAAACTCAAAACTACAGCTGATAGACGAAACCTCGTGATAATTTCAGGCGGCTTAAATGATGTCTTGAATGAAGATACAGCAGGACTAGCAACCACACTGGCGAAAGGCGTCGATGACATGCACGCCACTTCTCCTCAGGTACAGGTAGTGATATGCACGATACCAGAGGTACCGGTGCGTGATAGCAACATGCAAAGAGCGGTTGTCAACACAAACCAAGAGATATGGCGAATGAGTCGAGAGAAAGGCTTTGAGGTGGTGGAAATAAACAAAGAGGTGCATAGGTGGGGTGGTTTTCAACGAGACAGAATTCACTTCGATGGGCGGCTAGGTCATGAGGTGGGTTCGCGACTTGCAGGACGCGCTGTAGCTTTTTTGGGGGGCAAGCGGGCCCTTCGGGGTGCAGAGTAGCTAGTAACGAGAACAACAACCAGGGAGACTCTTTGACAGGTGGTATGGACAGATACGATTCCAAAGTGGCACCAGTATCTAAGATAGGTAGAGTCCGGGGCAGAAATAGACGTAGCCACGAGCGCCGAGCCAATCCAGACATAGGGTACTTTACCATGCAGGGTGGTAGGAACAGGCTGAAGTGGGAAGAGATAGAAGAACAGCTAAGAGAAGAGACGCCGATGGTGTACGGTTTTGTAGAAACACATCTCAGGGACATGGAACAACCTCAGAACAATCCGAACTACGCGAGGGAATATTGTAATGGAACAGAAGGCAGCAGAAAGAGGGGTGGTATTGGGGCATTCATTCATAAAAGTACAGACTGGCAAAAGGTTCAAGCAGGAGTGCAAGGAACATTTATGGCTAAAAGGGAAAGTGGCAGGTCAAATGACACTTTTTGGTTTCGTGTACTTGTGGACGGGAGCAAACGCCAGAGAGGAAAACCAGGCAATGGTAGAGTGTATATCAAAGGACATTCAGGAGTTAGGAAGAGAGTGCGAGATAATTATACTAGGAGATATGAAAGCGGACATAGAAGATATAGATGGGTATACCGACCCGACAGGCAAAATGATCATGGATATGTGTGAAAGGCTTGAGTTGATCATTTGCAACAGTACGGAGGAGTGTGAAGGGCAAATAACATGGGAGGTAGGAAGGCTGCAGTCGACGCTAGATTATGCACTGATGTCACATAGGATGTATGATAAGCTCAGAGGAATACGCATAGATGAAGGTGGCTCCAGAAGTCTGGGTAGTGATCACAAACGTATCAAGCTAAGTTTTGGAAGAGCAGTGAAAGAGGGAAGGAGACAAGGTGAGCAACTACAGGAAAATTTTTATCCAGAAAGGGAAATTGAAATAGCCACTAAACAAATTGAGAAAGTAATCACGGAGGATAATAAAACAGTGTGGACATACACGAATCTAATTAGACTGTTTGAGCTAGAGCTTGCTAAGACGCGTGACAAGTCACCCCGGAAAAGCAGACACAAACCCAAAAGTTGGTGGGTTGAGGAAGTTTAAAGAGCCATAACAAAACGTCAGGAAGCCTCTAGGGAACACAGACATGCTAAGCAGCGGGGTGAACCGACAGATGATGTTGAAAGAAAATGGGAAACCTTTCTAAGCTGTAGAAGGGATGCATCCCTTCTGATCAATGAAAAGATTAGAAGAAAGGAGCTCAGTGGCTGGTAGAAGTACATAAAAAAGATAGAAAGGCAGCTGCGAAATTTTGGAACCATCTAAACTCCCTAAGAAATGAGACGAGCCTAGAGCAGAGGTTTATAACTACTGCCCAAGGTGCTAGGCTAGAAGGGGATGAAGCTATTGAATATATAAGAACAAGGGTGACAGAAAAATTTGAACAAAGAAGTGCTTTATGCACCACAACAGACAAGGATGAATCAAGTGGTGCAATGGCTCCATTTTCACAACGAGAGTGGGAAAGGGCTGAGAAAAAGGTTCCTAGTAGTACATCAACAGGCCCAGATAGCATTTCAATTACGCTGATAAAGACATTAGGTCCAAAATCTAAGCAGGCTTTGAGAGAGGCAGTGAGCAAACTAATAATCGATGGTGAAGTTCTTGCTGGATGGAAAGTTAGCAGGATGAGCATGATCTATAAAGGAAAGGGGGACATAGCTGCCATAAACAACTACCGTCCTATAACAGCGACATCAGTGGTCAACAGGCTGGCGATGCAGATTATAAAGGAAAGACTGCAGGCATGGATAGAGGATGAGGAGGTGCTGGGGGAAGTGCAGAATGGGTTTCGGAAACACAGGAGGTTGGAAGACAATGTGTTCTCA